TTACAATATATATTTTTGAAAGCATTCTTACTTTACAGCATTTTTTCACACCTGCCTAAAACATTTGCACAGTACTGTAGTTCAAAATGCATATTTAGTCATTTCAAAAGAGTTCAAGTAAGCATCTGCATGATCTTCTAAAAGTGGCTATCCGTTGCTGACAGGAGTAAAATTTAGGACGTTTTTCTTTCCCTACAATTACAAACTTTATGAAAAGTAGGGAAAGAGTCATTCATTTTTGTAATTATTTCATTGTATTAACTTGCAACTGAACCTTCCAGTAAAATATATAAAAATTGATTTGAAAGTAAATGGTATTTTTCATCCAATGATTACAAGGACCTGATGTCATCTCTCAGTGCATATGGAAGGAGATAATTGTTTATTATATATCTGGGTTAACAGACTGAGTAGGCAATCATTTAGGGCTAGGGTTGCATTCTGAGAGATTGTGAAGGGCATACTTACAAAATGGTTGCAATGGCTTGCCTGCTCATAAGTAGTTGGCATGTCCACTTACAAGACACTCATTTACTACAAGGAGAACTAACTCTTTCCTACCCAAGATGCTCTCTTCCATCCCAGTAGGACCTTTGTGGGACCCAAAGATATTGCTGCAAATATATATGATACTAGAGACTAATGCTTTGATTTTTTAATATGCCACCTTCCTATTTAAGTCAGGAGAGGTATGTAGCCTGGTGGGCACCAAAAGAGGTGTCTAAAGATGATATAAACAAGGCAACCCTACCAAAATCTGTCTTGAATTTTGTCATAAATGATCTGAAGTCTCATGAACATTGACCTGGTCAAGTTTGCTCATGACATCGACTTATTCAAAGCAGTAAAATGAAAAGACGGAGTTCTCCAAGAGATCTGAGCTTGGAGAACAGGTATTAAAACAGCAAATCTTGTTCTATGTAAGCAAGAGAAATGGAATAAAAAATAACAACAAAAACCCTTGATCACGTATTCACATTCATAGTGATGGGATCTTCTGAGTCTCATGTCTGATCTGGAAATGAATCTTGTGGTGATGAATAGCTTCATGAAAATGTTGCCCTGCTATGTTGCTGCTGCAAAAAGATGCAATCTCCATGTAGGACATTATTAGGAAAGAAAATGATAAAAATAAATCTGCTAATTACATAATATATTTATACAAGATGATAGAGTGAACATATCTAAAACACCGCATAATTGATCACTACATCTTCAGAATGACCGGAAAATATATTGGGAAGACAATGAAAATTATTAAAAAGCTGGAGCAACTCTTCTGAGAGGGAGGATTAAAAACGAATGGGGAGGCTTTCTCCTTTCATAGTACATTCCAGGATCATCTAATGAAGCTACATTATTCACAGCAATAATAATTTTTAAAAGGCACTTTGTCCTACAATGCATGAACTTCACCTCTACAAATTGTACTGAAGACTGCCAAGTTGATGGTCTTAATATATTAGTGAAATTTATGAATGATAAGGCTATAATTAGCTGCTGGTTAACATAACTATATATTACACTTCCAGTATATTTCTTAATATACATTCCTGGGGAGCAGAATGTTTGTTTAGGGATATATTGTCCTCATCCTTCTTGTAGATTTTCTATACTAAATGCATGGCACTGTGCAAACAGACAGTTGAACCCAACAAGTGCTTGGTCTGATCCACTAGAACATTTCTGATATTCTTAAAGTTACAGTTTTAGATAAAGGCTCACAAGAAAGCAGAGTACATCTTGAAAATGCCTATCAACATGAAAAGAAACCATGCCCTTTATAATATAGATTTCTAATCGAGATATCATTTAAGCCAGTGTTGTCCAAACTTGGCCACTTTAAGATGAGTGGACAGAATTCCCCAGCCAGCCATGAGTTGAAGTGCACTCATCTTAAAGTGGCCAAGTTTGGACAACACTGATTTAAGCAGTGATGTGCTACAATATAGTCAGCTTACTATCTTCCATGGTTTCTTGAACATGCAGTATCATTGCAGAGCGGTCGCTTCCAAGTACACCATGAGGGTGACTTTGATGGCTAGAGAGATTCTGAACAACTCCACGGTTGCCCTTCTGACTGCCAGAGCCACTGCTGTTCTTGGGGGAGACTGTTTGGCCCCTGTAGAGTTGAGCCTGATGTTCACATACCCCAAATTTGCTAAGCAAGATGAAGATATCTCTTCGGAATGCTTTGGTAAAGATAGCATAAAGGAACGGGTTAGCACAAGAGTTGAGTGGATAGAACAAGACCAGCAGAATTTTTGAGTTACTGACTGTTATCAAGGGTTTGTTTATGACAGCAGATAAGGCATAGAATGAGATTGGTGCCATACACAAGAAGTCAGTAAAAATTAGCACAGCCATCCTTTTTGCAATGACTGTGTCTTTGTCCCCTGACTTGTATTGGGGATTCTGTACTGTAATATAAATTTTAATATAGCAAGCACAAATGATTATGAAAGCAACAATGTTTAACAGCAAAATAATTATAATGTAAGCTTGATCTAAAGGTGTTTCGGTGTCCATGGGAAGACAGATGCTAACTTTTCCATAACTACTGACTCCAATCAATGGTAAAAGGGCAAGAAGGAAACATACCAGCCAACCACCCAACATAATAAAAGATGCATGCCAAAGGCGGATTTTTTTATCCAGGCGCATGGCAAACGTGATAGCATACCAACGCTCCAGGGTGATTGTAGTCAGAGTAAAGACTGATAGCTCACTAGCAAAGACAGTAAAAAAGCCAGCTGTGCTACATCCAGGCCCAGTTTGCCAATCAATGGCATAGTTATAGTACTCTGATCTAGTATAAAGATCCACTGAAGCAATCAAGAGAAGATATAATCCCATACAAAGATCAGCAAAGGCCAAATTACACATCAGGAACCGTGGAACAGTCAACTTGTAATGGCTAGTAAGTAAGATAAAGAGAACAAAAACATTGCCCACAATGGCCAGCAAATTCACAAACCATACCACTATCCTTAAAAATCTGTACCCCATTACATCCTCACAGGGGTTGAACTCATCAGGCCCTGGGGTGCAACTAATATCATCATTACCTGCACAGATAATGTAGTCATAGTGACTGTCAAAAGTCGCAATATTCTCTTGGGGGTTCTTGAGCTCTTGACTAAATCCATCTTCTCTATTGTTATGTTCTTCGAAGAAGACATAATAATGGGAATTTCCATGAAGGTCTCTAAATTTGGAATTTTCATCAGAAACAGCATCTGTATGATCTGAATAATCTTCTGCATAATCTTGATAAAAGGGAGCCCTGAAGGTACTGGAAGATCTTCTTTTGCGAATGCTGAGATTGTTAGTTTGATTGCACAGCAAAAACTCCAAGATTCTAAGGAGCAATAGAAAGCACCATTAATAAAATCTGTAGCTTATCTAGATCAAGCAAATGAATCAGTGGGGAATATTTATTGTGATCTAAGGCAACATTGTTTTGCAAAAAGTATAGAATTCTGCCTTTGGAATAAAGCCACAATTCTAAGCTTTCTCTAATTATGATAATCACATTTTGATTGGACAAGTCTTCCTTTAAGAAAGCTATTACATATTTAATTATATTTCAGTGGTATTATACTGTATTTGGTTTCATTTCTATTTATTGTAACAAATTGCTATGCTGCTTTTCCTCTGTAAAAGTCATCAAGACAGTTTACAGTAAACATCATACTTCAGAACAAATGCAATCTAAATCTAACCTTATTAAATTGGAGCAGCCATAGAATATAAAATCTACTTTAAAGGAGTTCAAGCAATATTTAAAAATGATGACAATTTAGACCAAGGTGAAGAGGTGGACTTCATTGGGCATTTAAATAAACACCAGGTAGACTTTCTGTAGATAGAATTTGAGAGTCTGAGTGCCATTACAAATGTTCTCTCTCTCATTTGCCTCACTGCTGACGTGGAGAAAGGTTGAAGAGGTTTCTGAAAATACTTTTTCTATTGTTGGGCAGGTTCATGAGCCAGAATAAGATTCCTTAGATAGTTGGATCCTAACCCATTTAGAATTTAATATAGATTGTAAAACTTACCCCTTAGCTTTCTTCCAGTTCTTGAAAGCACAACAGTGACTTGGATATGACAGAGCAGCATAAGTTAGATAAGGAAAAGTTTTTACTGGGGGGAATTTCTTTAGAGTCCAGGTATTTTGAGCCATCAGTTCTTTCAGGTTTTCTAATCCTCTTGCTGGAAGTGTAGTGATACACGTCTGGGAGACATCACTGAAGATATACACAGAGGAAAAAATTAAGGACAATGAATAATGTCAGATTCCCATAAAACACTTGATGAATCTTTATATTTATTTAATTTATATACCATACAACTGTGAAATGCCCTTAGAAGAACTAACAAACACAGAAACTAAGAGCAATGTAGAACCAAAGCCTAAGTAGTTTTGTTTATAGCTGAAGCAGCTTCTTCCTAAATACTAGATTCTGGACAAAGGATAATCCACTCCTAGCCTCTTGTACTAGCCTGTTGGGACTTTAGGATTTGCCTTTCTCTCCATACCATCTTCATTAATTGTTCACACTTCCTTCACAATCCATCACTTTGACATGTCCTCACTCTGTTGCCTTGTGTTGCTTGACTCCCTCTTTGTCCAACTTTTAGATAGAAAATCACTGGGTTTTCATGCCAAGAGGCAGCTGACATCCAGTACTGTAGTTGTTTTTAACTGGCAAAATATTTGAAACTTTTGCTTGAGTTACTATTTCGGAGTTACCTTTTGTCTGTTGATGTACAATTTGAAAAGTTTAAACTTCAAAATAACATTATAACACAGCTAAGAAAAAACAGGAGAACCTTCCCCCTCCCCCCGCCCCCAGTTTAAAGAAATTCAAAGTTAATACATTCCAAATAATGTACAAGCCATACAGAACAATTTCAAGAACAACAATCCAGTTCAGCTGAAAGTAAATAGAAGTCACTCTAAAACTGCAAAATACATCTCTCTTTTTTCACAGTGAAAAGAACAACTCAGATGTCTTCATATTTGTTAGTTCACACCTGCCCCTATGCCTGTTTTTTCAGCATCTTTGGTATTTCATTATAGAGATTGGAAAGAATAATTGTTCAAGGCATTATGTAAGATAGTGTCAGGGGAAAAACCTTGTTAAACACGGGAGACAGACACACCAGAACATAACTTCAAAGTTCTAAAAGCTTTATTAAATGTTAGTTCAATAAGCAAGTAAAATTCAACCAATAGCGTACAAGGTACTTACTTAGATTCACATTGCAATGAGGACCAGCACGAGCATGACTTCTATTTACTTTCAGCTGAACTGGATTGTTGTTCTTGAAATTGTTCTGTATGGCTTGTACATTATTTGGAACAGGTAAGACAGCTTGGCCGAGTGGCCCCGACCCCCTTGTTGCAATCCTTTTTATCCTCAAAAACTGCAAACCACAAACATGACTCCCAGAATTTGCAACTGAATCATAACGTCCTTGGTGCTAATTTTACCACACTTCCCTGTTTCATTGCTCCTATCACACTCCTTCTATCAGCACTCTATTTTCCGGCTTCCTGTCCATGACTGAAAACTTTAGT